TGCAAATGTTGGATCGTTTGTGGTGCGTTCCCTCTTGGTCAGTGTTGCCTGTAGGAGCGATATCGTGCGACTGAGAGAGAACGGAAGGATAAGGAAGGGATCGGACTGAAGCGGAGCGGCTCCAACCTGCACACAGTGATCGGACCAGCTCCATACTGCAATATCGTCACAATCCCATGTCGGCATTTTCTCCTCGCCTTGGTGCATATGTATAGTTCTACTCGATCACTTCATTTACTATTTTTTCTGCGGACAAGCAAGCAAGCGTCCTTGACGTCACATTCTCCCCATCCAATTTCTAGGTGGTCCAGCGTGCGTGCTCATGCATACATACATATATACATATGGCCTCGTCCTTTTGGTACGTACATCATGCATTCCACCGCTATTATGAAGTATTGTTGGGTGGTGCGTACAAGTTTGGCCGCATGAATGATGTATGTAGAGGTCATATACATACGCGATTCATTCAAAGACCCTCGGCAAAGTACAAAATATTATCTGATCTGCGCCCGGCACGCAAAATGCCAAGCTGCAAACAGAAAACACTGCGGCAGGCGTCCGTGTTGACCGCCTTTCTACTTGCAGTGGCCGTGTCACGCGGCCAACGGATCGTCAACATATCACCAAACGCTAACAATGATGCCGTCCAGGCGAGCCGAAAGAAGAGCAAAAACCGATGCGCAAGACCAGCGCCTTTTTTTTAACACTCTCTCGCCAACAACAACCGGGACGGACAGGACGAAAAGAAGCCACACTGTAGACGACAACTTTGCAGCGGAAAACGGGGACAGGCGAAGGCAGAGGAGAGGCGGCGCAGCAGCTTGCAGGTCTCCAATTGATTGGTGACGATGGAGATGTTTAATTTTTTTCTCGTGTTTGGGGGCGGCAAGAACACTGACTGATGGTCATACAGATTCACCCGTCCGCCCCTAGAGATTTCGCGACGAATGCCACTTGAAATGATCGCAGCAAACAGCGTGCCGTTTGGACATGAGGCAAGAGAAGCCACATGCATACATGCATATGTTTTGGGGCGCCCCATATCCTCCAATATTGCGTCACCAAGGGAGAGAATGGGTTGGTGCACGTCTTGTTCGAAATTTCGGATTCACTCCCGGAAGTCTAGGTAATGATGCACATAGCATGCGACCGGCAAATAAAGACCGCCGGACTACATGAACAATGTTCTACCGTCGAATGCATTTGCCAGGAAAGACTCACAGAATACCGTGACTACTCATGTGACTCTCGGAGATGGGGAGATGGCGGCGACAGCGCCCCACGTTCCTCACCCTCACACGTTCCACCTTTCTTTCTTGAACTAGCTAAGCCGAGAGACTCTCGGCTACGCTTGGCACTTCGCCACATTATTACAAGAAAAACGATTTTACCTCCGTTGGTGAACGATTTTTCACCACTTCAGGGACCCTTGCTGGTAACAGATAAATTTTTTCTCATTGGCGTTAGACGAAGAAGCTGAGAACACCTGAACATTGCACTTGAGCAGGCAGACAATAATGCCGAAAACAGTAGTAGCGAAATGGCGGGTTCGTTGGATAAGGGGTTCGCTCAATCAAACCCTCACTAAGAACCAAAAGAAGAACGAGCAGAACGAGAAGGAGGAGAAAAAGCAGAAAGAAAAAGCCGCTGCTGAAACTGCCCCCCCTCATCCCGCTACTTACTTCTGCTCGTAACAGAAAAGGGGTTTCTCAAACAAGGTAAATGTGTCACTGTGATAGAGGCACCACCTAAAACTATACTGTACGGTGGAGGCTATAGTCTATTGCTGAGGATTTATTTTGATACTCTTAAATCTTTTGCGCAAGTTTTCGAGAAATCGACCGCATGTAATGTACCCTCTGCATATAAGGTAGCACCGTCAGGACGAAAAGGCGTCCGCATCCGCGTCAGCTGGATGGAACCAATTAAGAGTGCAGAAGTGAATCAAAGGGTACTGGGCAGAAATAGATCGGAACAACGGTTCGCTGCGGAAAGAACAGCAGTAACGACATCTCCCTACAACCTATACACCTGCTGGAAACACAAAAAAACTAGAGTTGTGGCCAATAAACGGACTTGTTTTTACTAGTTAGACTAGTTAGTGCCGTTTACAACCCCCGGTCACACAGAAGGGTCCCTCTCTACCCTCCCCTCCTGTGATGCGCTGCCTTCGATTTTTGAAGCGAGAAGAGTCCAGTACTCTCTTCCCTCTGTGTACACACATACATACGAATTAGCGCTATCCACTAGGCCAGGCACGGAAGCGATAGATAAACAAACCCGCTTTGCCATCTTCTTGGAAAAGTAAGTGCGAAGGTGTACCGATTCAGGTAAAAGTCGATCGACAGGTACCCTGCGAATCGGGTCCTCCTTAACACTCTCCACCCACAGAAATTACCCTCAACTGGGGACCCCTTGTGGCCAGGATGGGTAATTCGATGGAAGATTCACAAGGTTCTTTGTAGGATCGACTCCAAGAGGTGTTTTCAGGACTGACACACATGGTGTCCATGGGAAAATGTCCAAGTCAGGAGAAAAAGTGTGCACCCAAAGAGATTTGAACCACGGCGAGATTTAAAGGATGTGAAGCCGTGGGCGGTAGCTTGCTCCTAGAGATAGTTGAAGGTTCTGTTGTTGACACGCTTGTCCACGACCACGTTGATATGGGAAAGTTGCTTGTTATTGCTGCGAGACGATCAGCAAGGGTCTGAGATGAAGTGGGGATCCAACTTCATCTCAGGGGGTACACAGAGTAGTAGTCAATTCTAAGGGGGTAGGAGTCAGAAGGCTATACCTCCTGACCGACCCGCATCCTATCAACAATAAGATGTACCCAATTCATGCTAGCAGCCACGCTCCTTAACACTAGCTCACCCTGAGTATCATATATACATATTCTATACTCAAATCAATGCTCGAATCCTAAAGCTACAGTAAGATTTAGCTGATGATTTATGATCATGAATCGAAGATATGACTCTTCACAAAACATCCAAAAGGAGGGTGAGTTGCAGAAATATCCCGAATCAACCCCCCACACCATCATTGAGATGAAGAATGCGAACGGTCACGAGACGGAACATCGACATCTCAATGACAACGCTTGGAGGGATGAAGCTACGAAGAATATATATTGCTGCAGAGCACGCGATCATCCTGAACAGACGACGACAGGGAAACAAAATCAATGTGCAAACGCCACACACCACTTTTTTACGCGCACCCGCGCGCATCACCACTGGAGGAATGAGGGTGACTACCCGAGAGAGTCCAAAATACGGTGACGAAACTCAAAACCCAAACAAATTTCCGAACGAATACGGCCTTTGATACTGGACGCGACGCAAAGGGAAAACTCAACGCAATCTAGGACGTTAACGAAGGGCAGGAGAAAAGGACGACAGGCAAAGGCACGGAGAAGATCGCCTGTGTGCCAGAGTACCCAACTCGTATAAGGAGACGGCAAGGGCAAGACCTAATGAGAACCAACGATGCAAAGCACAAACGATCAATGCAAGAGAGGCGGTCGACGAACTGCGCCATGGCTCGCTGGCGATACGTATTATTCAAAGACATAAAAACACAGAAAAGTCGTAGAGATTCACACAACAAGACGATGACTCAGGGGCGCGACTGTGATGAAGGCATCGCCCGAAGGTGGCGATGAGGGAGACGAAGCAGAAAGAAGTGTGGGTGACGACGAAAATTCACGGGAGAAGGCGACGCCACGGGATGGAATCCCGAAGCACCACCAAGCGTATACGACGCTTCTGCGGCACGATGGAGCTAAAGCAAAAAATATATAAAAATTAGTTGGCAAACAGGCGAACCAGGAAAACGCGGGGAACTCGGTGTCCAAGTGTCTCGAGGCAAACAACACCGACGAAACTTGGGGACCTCGTTGTCCAAGTGTTAAGAGGCAAACAACATCGCCGAAACTTCGGGGGGAGCCTGTCGAGAGAACCGAAGACCAACAACAAAAAACAATTGAAGCAAAGGCGAGAGAGAACGGACATCCAGGTCGCGGCAGTTCACTGATTCAGACGAATACAGGCAACAAGGAAGAAGGCTCACTCGACACTGCGTGTGTTGAGGCGGCGTTGCCCAAGCGTCCAAAAACAAAAAATAAGCCAACAAAAGAAAAGAGACAGGTATGAATACCCTCAACTCAGTGTGAGCGGAGGTCCCAAAATGGCGAGGTGGTATATGCCTACCACCGAAGGCTGGCTGATTTCCTTTGGTGCAATGTGACGAGGAATGTCAAGCGGTGGTTGAGCATACTCAGCCAAGGCCAGGGTAAGGTTGCGAGTGGGCGCCGGCTGAGACCCTTCCTGGGTTCTCGGTACCAACCATAAAGATCCATCCCGACTCAGGTCGGGGTGAATAACCCACAAAGTAAAGATCCAGAGCAGAGCGATGAATTATCGTCTGTCGGATGTTTTTCACTCCCTTTGTATGTGCGTGTGTAAGTATAAGAAGATACGAATATCCTGGCCTCCACACAGGACGGAAAAAAACAAAACAAAACAAAACAAAGCAGAAGGTGACATAAAAAACAAAAAATCAAAATGTCGGCGAGAAGGATAGCACAAAAGACCAAAACAGGCCGACTGGTATATGATAACGACGACGCGAAGAAGAAATGATGGGAACAGCCGACGGTAAGGAGTCAGCAAGGAGCGGAGTGCGGCCACGGTTGTCGCTCAGAGGGCGCGAACGATGTTTCTCTAAACACCATCCACAGACGGCGTCTAAGGCGGTGGAGTAGAGATGCGCAGGCAGAGGGAGAACGCTTGGGCCCGGGTCATCCAAAAATCGAACGATGTACGAGCCGCCCTGATGAGCACCAATACGTCCGGTCCACCACAATCCATCACAGGCCTTGTACCACAGCCGTGCGCCAACAGGGAGGGGCGAAGTGCTGAAACGACGAAGCCAAGTCGCATTAAGCACAAGATCAGCCCAAGGAGGCAAATAGCGTTCTCCACGATTCCGGGCTAGCTCCCGCTGTGCCGCGCGAGTCCGAGCCACTCGATATGTACCGTTACCCTGCTTGCTTTGGCAGACCTCCCGGGACCAGTACAAGAGGTTGTGTCGACGGAATTGATCGAGGTCGGATTCCCGTTCCCATGAAGAAGTAGTCAGGCCTAACCAATGCGTCTGGTACAGGACGGCGAGAACGCCGCTACGGCCCCGCACCAGTTGATGTCCCGAGATGTAGTCGACCTCGAGGCGCTCGACAGGCACCGGCACATCATCCGCGGTGACGTGGAAAGGTAGACATTTATCTCCGAAAGAGTGCAGAACATGACGCGAAAGCTCGGCGGGCAGAGATTGCGGCAAGTCGTCCGTCTCGTACGGATTGCGACAGGGCTTGCAACGAAGGGCAGACACGCGAAATCGAGCTGCTGGGCCGGAAAGATCGGAAGGCAGGTCCAGGTAGAGGAGGTTACGCGCCAACGGGCTGCCGTCCGGAGTGGCGTCGGCAGAAGCGGGACCCACCGCAAAAACTTTGTAGGGCCCTGTCCAGGACAGTGCGAATTTGGCCTTGAGCACCTGTTGGTCCGTGTCCTTCTGCACACCCTGTCGGATCGTAGCAGCCGTGTTGTACACCCAAGCCCACCCGCCAACGGTAAACTGAGGGAGCTTGTGAATGGCGTCCAGCAGGGATAAATGGCGGCGTTCGACTCGCGAAATCTTCAGGGCGTTGTACTCACGGACAAGTTCGTAGGCCCGGTGCTGGCGATCGACGGCCAGGTTGCAATACTCGAGTTGATCGCGGGCCAAGCTTTGATGACCACCTACCGTGGGATGATCGAAGACCGAAAGCGGGAGTCGCGGGATGCGTCCGATGTGGATCTCGTTTGGCGCTAATCCAGTAGACTGGTTCACGGAATCATGGTAGGTAAACTCAACGTGAGGGAGATGTACGTCCCAATCGTTTTGCTGTTCGTTGACGACCACCGCAAGCATCTGGGCCATCGTGTGGTTGACGCGTGCCGTGCCGCCGTTGGTCTGTGGGTGGTAGAAGCTGGTGGTGACCTCCTTGATCTTCATCACCTCGTAGATCGCCATGGAGAGCTTCGAGCAGACATGCAGTCCGTTGTCCGACAATAACGTAGTCGGACATCCCCACTTGGTCATGTATTGGTTGACGAAGATGTGAGCCGTCCCTCTCGCCGTAAATTCAGCCGCTGTAACTGCGAACATGTCGGCTCTCCGACTGAAACGGTCTGTGAACAACAAAATGTAGGAGTTGCCCTTGGCAGTCACTGGCAGAGGTCCGAAGAAGTCGACGCCGACGTCTGTACCAGGCCCCTGCGGCAACGGCATAGCGATGACGGGCCACCGAGCATTCTGACGTGAAGTCTTGCGAGCTTGACACACCAAACACGCCCGAAGCCACCAGCGCACGGAACGATCCAAACCAGTCCATCAGTAGAAGCGCTCGAGCAGACGCTGTGTACGATGGACGCCGAGATGGAATGACGCAGCGGTATGGCATGCATGAAGGACCCACGGACGCATCAGCATTGGCACGTACACACGGGGCACGCCAGTATCCGGCAGACGAGTGGTCCTGCCGCCAGAGCGCCCAACCGGCGACGTCGCCGATTTATTTACGAGGAGGGTGATGTTGTCATCGGTCGTGTGCAGTCAGGTTTTCGCCGCCAACACAAGCACATCATCTAAACCAGGGGAGCGAAGAGAAGCACGGAGAATGAGCAAGTCCGGAGGGGGTGGGGAGGGAGAACCGCGAAACAAAAAACGCATAGCCACCACACACTCGCTCTCCCGCTGTTGTTCCCTAGCCCAGTCCACAGTGCTGAAACTCTGAACACAAGCCCGCAAGTGGGAGGTGTCCAAATCGGAAGATTCGGAAAAAAAATTAGGCGATCCAACCAACGGAAGAGGCGGAAGAAGGCGAAGCCTCAGCGACTGGGGCAGCCGCAGTTCGTGGTGATGTCCGCGAAGGGGACATCNCGCTCCGGAAGCGAAGAAAAACGTGCACATATCTAGTCGCCAAAGACGCGGCAGGAGATATCACGCTGGACGCATCAGAAGTCAATGGGGAAGTAGGCCCTGAAGATGCGGGAACAGGCGAGTCGATGAATATCCCCGGGGACCGCCGAGAATCCTCGCCGGCAATCTTTGAGTCCGTCAGGGCATCCAACCGACGCGGGTGATGTCGGCGAAAATCCCCAAAATCGGAGGGCTGCAACGTTGGGGGCGAAAAGACTCCTGCCGTGCAAGGAGGGCGGAGCCCACCTAAACCGACCTCCGGCGTAGACGACGAGTGATAGTTGCGCCCGCAAGCCCGAATGAGGAAAACACCCGCTTGATCGACACCATCAATGCAGTCGGGGCCAGTTTTGTCAGTGTCTTGTGCTGGTAAAGGCAACCGCGAAAGAAAATCGGCGTTGCCGTTTGCCGAACCTTTCCGATGTTTCAGGGTGTAGGTGAAGTTGTACGGGAATTCCAACCATCGTTGCACCCTAGCGTTGTGTTCCCCAACCTTGCCAATGCTCTCCAAGGCTTTGTGGTCCGAATAGATGATGAACTTGGTCGACCACAAATAACCGCGAAGCCGTTTGATGGCCCAAACAATGCCACCAGCCTCCAGATCCAGAACGGTCCAGTTACGCTCCGGAAGAGTAGCGCGGCTGATGTACACGATCGGTCTCACCGAGCCATCGAGCTGTTCTTGTTCCAAGGAGGCACCAAAGCCTTCAATACACGCGTCGGAACACAAACGAAGAGGACGGCTGTTGTCCTCGATTGCTGCCCAATCCGCGAAGACCAAAATCGGGGGGCGAGCGAGTTCGCTTAACAACGTTTGGACAACCTTGACCATGCCCGGGGAGTACTTGAAGGGGACGCCTTGTTTGAGAAGAGAGTTGAGAGGCCGCACCTTGGTGGCGAGATTCTTGAGGAATTTCCGGTAGTAACTGAGTCCACTGAGAAGGCTCCGAAGCTGCTTAACATTCGTCGGCGGCGGCATGTGCGTGAGCGCCCTAACCTTGACGCCATCAGGGCTAACACCTGCAGGAGAGGTGGTGTGACCGAGAAAGTTGGCGTGCGTGGCGCCGACGCGACCCTTCCCTGGAGACAGTTTGAGGTTGTACTGTCGCAGTCGTTTGAAGGACTCGATCAAGTTTGGCACGTGTCCCAGAGGTTCCTCATCGAAACAGATGACATCGTCCAAATAAGCCAGCACACGCTCCAGACCGTGCACCACTCTGTTGATGACCTTGACGAACCAAGACGGACTTGCGTTGGCACCCTGCGGCATCCGAAGCCATTCGAACAACTGCGTGGGAGTGCAAAAGGCGGTGACCGGAACAGTGTCTTCATCACAAACGATCTGGTGGAAAGCCGAGTTGAGGTCGAAGATGGAGAATACTTTCCCGGTGTACAGAGAATCCAAGATACCGTCCACTGGAGGGAGAGGTTGTCCATCCAAATCCACCAGAGCGTTGAGACGTTTGTAGTTGACGGTGATGCGAACAGATCCGTCCTTCTTGGGGATGACANAAAGAACTAAAATCGGTTCTCGAAGTTGAGAACACGTCAGAATACTCCACAAGGGCGTCGGCCAAACGATCAATAGCCTCCGGTGTCCATCCCGGATTGTGTAGATCGAAAGCGATGTCGTGCATATGTGCGGGCAGCCTAGCCCACAAGCGCATGGAGCTGGAGCGCTGTGCGTCAGAGAAGCGGTCAAGTAGTTCTTGTGGAGGCGGCTTCGGAGGAGGCGGGGGCGAGGCTGGGTCCGGAGAGCGGTGAGTCCCGGACTTGGGGCCAACGGCGTTGACCCGAGGTGGTGATATAGATGTTGTGGGGCCGGTAGGAATCGAAGATGGTTCCGCCTTCAGAGTTTCCACCGGTACTCGTAGTAGCGGCGCGGCAGACACTCCAACAACATCTCCCGGCTCGAGCTCGGCACAACCTGCAAGGAGAATACGCTGGAGACCATTGGAAACGCGGAGAGAGCGTGAGCTCGCCCATAACCCGGTCGTCCGGTCCAGGGTGGGGGAGGGTGGTGAACACGCGAGGGTTGAAGCGCATCCAGCTATCACGACCCAGAAGCACGGCGTGCCCCATGGCGGCGTCTGGAACAACACAGGCCCAGACCGCCAAGGAAGCGATACTTTATCTCCATTGAGAAAATAAACGGTGAGAAGAATTGACCGGGTGGTCACAAGGGCGGGTCCATCACCAAATCCATCCCAACGACGAGAGGGCGAAACACGAACGCTGCCAGCCGTCAGGGCTCCGGAAGCTATCATGGAGGTGACCACGGAGTCGGACACCAAGGATGCAGGAGACCCAGAGTCCGGAAGCGCCACTCGCGCGAGTTGAGAAGTGGCTGTAGGTCCTCCATGCAGCAGGACCCAGGTGGTGTATGAGTCCGAGTCCAACAGGAGCGTGCCGCCTACCAGATCGGGCCCATGTTCGAGAAGAGGAGGCTGGTCTGCACAAGCGGAGGTCGATGCCACCAGATGAACGCCAGGAGCATGGTCCCCCGGAGCGTCCAAACGGAGACAAGCTAGGTCTTCGCCCGGGTCCTTCCGTGGCGAAAAACCTGTAGCAGTAGCAACCTCATGGATGCGTCGATGTCCATGGAGAGGAGGCTGCGAAATGGGGGGCGTGGGAGAAGTGGAAGCGGGGAAATCTTCGCCAAACAGGGGATGATCACGCAAAAGGCGTCGAACTTCCATCAAAGCTTTTCCCAACACGTTTTTACCTCTAGCCGCCCACTTGGATGAAACACTAGCCTCTGGAAAGCATGCAGACATGCCGATACCCCAAACACGATCGAAGGGGCTGGCTTCTGCAAGGAGGCGGGTACCCTTCTCCAGTATCCAGTAGATGATGTTTCATGTCATGGTTTTGAGCAAATTTGGCATACGACCCCGTAAGCACGATCTCTTCACGACGACGCTCCCATTCAGCATAGACGAAAGGACGCACGTTACGACCCAAAAACTTGTGTGTCTTAGGATCTGTTGCAGTCATAATTTTGTCATACGACGTCATGTCTCCAAAAAACTTCGCGTTTTCAGACATCATAAATTGCTCACCACATGGATAACGTACCCCCAGTACGTCCAAAGCCGAAGNTCTAGCCGCCCACTTGGATGAAACACTAGCCTCTGGAAAGCATGCAGACATGCCGATACCCCAAACACGATCGAANAGGTCTTCGCCCGGGTCCTTCCGTGGCGAAAAACCTGTAGCAGTAGCAACCTCATGGATGCGTCGATGTCCATGGAGAGGAGGCTGCGAAATGGGGGGCGTGGGAGAAGTGGAAGCGGGGAAATCTTCGCCAAACAGGGGATGATCACGCAAAAGGCGTCGAACTTCCATCAAAGCTTTTCCCAACACGTTTTTACCTCTAGCCGCCCACTTGGATGAAACACTAGCCTCTGGAAAGCATGCAGACATGCCGATACCCCAAACACGATCGAAGGGGCTGGCTTCTGCAAGGAGGCGGGTACCCTTCTCCAGTATCCAGTAGATGATGTTTCATGTCATGGTTTTGAGCAAATTTGGCATACGACCCCGTAAGCACGATCTCTTCACGACGACGCTCCCATTCAGCATAGACGAAAGGACGCACGTTACGACCCAAAAACTTGTGTGTCTTAGGATCTGTTGCAGTCATAATTTTGTCATACGACGTCATGTCTCCAAAAAACTTCGCGTTTTCAGACATCATAAATTGCTCACCACATGGATAACGTACCCCCAGTACGTCCAAAGCCGAAGAAGTCCATTGCGAGAACACAGACGGAGGTTTCCAGAAAAGAAGGACGTCTTCCGAAGCGTACTCGCACCTGTCATCAAACGGCGGAGCCGGTGCAGGGCGAAGGGCAAAGAGTGGGCACCAGGCACAGGCGGGGGTGGATCAAGCGGACGGTCCTCTTCTCCGACGGGGAGGACCCAGAAAGCGAGGCAGGAGCGGGCGAAGTCGCAACGCTC